TGTCCTGCAGATTTTGTTGTCCTCAGAAATTCTGTATTGCACCAACTACAGAAGATTCAAGACTGTAGAAGCGCAGGGCCTTTTGGGTCCCTGTCGACACACCAAAAACAGGCAATAATTCTCAAGTCCCTATCCAGAGCACCAAGCTTGCGAAGGTAAGAAAGCTCCTGCAAGAATCAGGACTTGTGTTAAGTTAGAGCAAATGCAATAGCCTGCAATGGGGGTCTGGTGATCTAAACCTGTTGCCTTGAAAAGGCCTCTGAACTCTTGACAACAAGAATGATACCCTGCAATTTTCTTGCTGGCAGTAGCAGCCTGGTTCAAGAGATTTGTATCAGTAAGTAGTGAATCATTCAGTTTGAGTTTATTTCCTTGCAAAAAACTGACCTTATGAACAGTGGTAGCAAAGACTTTACCAGCATGATTTTTGGAGAATGTTTGGAAAGCAGAACTTGATTTTTTGCTGTCCTTGGCTTGAGGACATTGATTGCATTTGTTCAAAGGATTTTCATCATCTGAATTAGCTGAGTCAGCTTCAACTTGAATTTCTTCATTGTCCAGCTGGAAATTCAGAATTGAGACTGCTAGGTTGGGTTCAGTGGGTAGTTTGCAATGCTCTCATTGGGTTGTTGAAAATTTCAGTCCAGCCTTGAAAACTAAGGTCAACTTATGCCAATAGCATTGAGCATGAATCTGGGAGCTGTCCCAGTCCACCAGGTTTTCTGAGGCGGCAAATATGACTTCCATCTTGGACGCCATGGCCCTGTTATTTGAGCCAGAGTATGTTGTATTGCCTAGAGTGTAAGTATACAAAAATATTAGCTTGGAAAGACCATAGCAAAATGAATTAACCCTATCTTTGATTGAGGTTGTGACAAATAAGAAATCAAGCAACTGGGTGTGCCAAAAGCACACCATAATGATTCCATACACCCATCTTCAGAGTCAGAAAGCCTCTGCAGTATCCAAAATCAGTGTTGATATAGCAAGCAATCAATGCTGATAAAGCATATTAATTGCATTGGGTGGTGCATACATTTTGGATTAAGCAGGTATGGCTGGTGTTTGACTGCGGGATTGATACCATGGTCAATTTAGTAAACAGAAGATCAATGAAAAAACCAACACCTTTACTTTTCACAAAAACTCTGAGTGAAAGTAATTTGTGGCTTCTTAGCAGTTTGTGCAGCCCAACTTGGTGATCACATCACAGTGCCCGTGAAGGGCACCCCCAACGTCAGAGGCCTTCAAGAGTACAAAGGCAAGCCTTTGTACTTGCTGGAGCCTCCAACGTCAGGGGCCCTCTCTATGGGCACTGTACATGTTGGCTGACAGTTTGTGTTATGAATCTATATGTAACACGTGTGAAACCTACAACACATGTCACGGTTGAGAGTTAGCTATATACTTGTATTACGTAATATGCTTTCCCTCTTCCTCATCCGACAATCAATATACTTTACGTGATTGCTTGGTAAACCCTTTCCTCCATTCCGTCGACAAGCCTTGATCCCTGAGCCAGGCCTTAACATATTGTCGGATCTCATACTAGGAATCGAGGAACTTCGAATCGAATTAATCCAAGAACGAAAGAACCAACTTAGATAAAATTAGATTTAGAAACTCCATTTTATGAAAAGAACTTTCTCTACTGTAAGCATTGTTAAAAACAATATGTTCAATACAATTTTGGACTGCTATTGATGTGAGGATTCCAAATCTACCCTCGGCTTCAAAATTGGATCAATTTTGTGGATTTTATAAACTTGTTTCTCAAAATACCCAATTTCACGTGTTTAGGGACTACCCACTTTATGTAGTACTGGATCAGATAAACTAGACCAGGCAAGAAAATGTTGCATGATACAGATAATACAGTAATCTAAAATTGAGAATATCAACAGCATGTGTACAATGTCACTCAGGTGTGTGAGTAAGGCTATGGCACATCCCCAAGCTATGTGCACGCGGCAGGGCACCAAAGATCTAGCGACTTATATGTGATAGATACAAATAGTTTTTTAAAAACTATACAGGCCTGTGTCAGCTGCATAAGGGTGGTGTGGCAACCAAAATCATATGTTTTTTGCAGAAATGACAAGGATTTTGTGAACCGCTGGATCAAGTTTGAGTTGCAATTGTCAATTGGATTTGGTGGCCAGGCCCAAGACCTGGAATGATGAGGTTGTTTTTCAAACTGTTTTTCCTCCTTTTGTCAAGGGAAAGTCCAATTGGTGTGTTTACAATTTGGACCCAGGTCTTGAAAATGGATCTGATTTGCATCCACTGGCAAAGGCAACACCTGGAATGGTGGAACGGGTTTGCAGTTTTGTGAGCAGTTATATACAGGCAATCAACCACTGCTTGAGGTGCAATTAGGGGATACAAAGTTAAAAGTGGGATTTTTTTCCCAGTTTCCTAGTTTCCCAAATACCAGGACCCCTGATAGCGCCACCAAAGCCCCATTGTCTTTCTGGAGCCAAAATGCAATTTTTAGCAAATATGTTTGTTGTGAAACCTGAAGCCAAAAAGCCAAATTTTTGGATTTTTCTTTTCTAAGGTCATTGTGCCCTTGGAGCCAAAACCACTGGTTTTTTATTCCAAAATTTTATGTGTATTGTTTCCACAGAGCAATTCCATGTATAGTCATACTGGCCACAGTCTCAGTCCAGCCAAAAACGCAAGAATCACCTAGACACACCATTTTTAACACTTTCACTCTTCACAAAGTCACAAGGAAATGTCCACCAGCCAAAGCAAACCCATTTAAATGGATACAATGCTCTCCAAATCTCCTTGAAACCTGTGTGGTATCCGTAATATAACAAAGAAAGGAGGTTTGTTTTATTCAATTTGCCATTGTTGTCTTCAGAATAATCCAAGTAAACTCCAAGGTACATGTAGTTAGAATGTTCCAGCAAATTTCACTTAAATTACAAAGAAAAGTCTGAATCCACCACAGTCAATCTGATATAAGCTCTTGGTACATATGTCATATAAAGCCATGCAAGGAAAAGACCATACTTATGAGTTCACTAATACCAATCAGCTCAATTTGTGTCAAGCAACAAGGAACTTTTGAATCTTCTGCTCCACATCAACCCGCCAAAAACACAAACAAAGACAAGGTTTTTTAATGTCCAAAGGCTGTGGACTTTCTGAATTCTTATTTCTAAAAATATTCTTTTTTCAGCCTTTTCTCTATTTTTTTTGTTTCATCCAAGGCCTTTGAAATGCCCAAATCCAAGTTCCAGGTGTTTGTTGTCTTCTTGGAGCCAAATTAGGTAAAATTTGGTGTACTTTATAAATGTATGTGGTCAAATTGGAGCCAAAATGGGATTTTGAGCAAAAGTCAGCAGATCTACTCAGAGCTAAAAGGGCCAAAAATTGAGTTTTGACACAATGGACCTTTAGAGCATCTCCAACGGCACCTGGTAAACGTAACGATACGTAAGCTGTATGTTAGGTTTACCGGGTCAGGTCAAAAAACGACCATCCAACGGTCACCAGCTTTCTCACATCTGGCCATGTGTGTGAATTTTGTTTTGAGGAATACCGGGTATCACATGTCAGCACCTTCATATATGAGGGGCTCTCGCAAAAGATGCAGGAAGCAGTATTGGCGACGTTGAGAGCATCTCCAACGGTGCCTTGTAAACGTAACGATACATAAGCTGTATGTTACGTTTACAGGGTTGGGTCAAAAAACGACCCTCCACCGGTCGGCAGATTTCTCACCTCTGGCCACTCGTGTGAAGTTTGGTTTGAGGGATACTGGGTATCGCATGTCAAGACCTTCATGCATGAAGGGCTTCCGCAAAAGATGCAGGAAGCAGTATTGGCGACGTTTAGGACATAATCATACCACATGCGTCCAAAGATAAATATGATAATCAAAAGAAATTACATATCAAGTATATAGTCAATGAGATATCAGTCAACTTTTAAAAGGAATATTGTGCGCTTTTGGCGTTTTTGGCAGGAGCACGACCTTGGAAGTCCCTCCATCATGTGCGCGGTGGAGGGAAATCATTTTAAAGAAAAAATACAGCTTACTGTATGTTTTCAGACAAGCCTGTACGCCTTTTGGCGATTCAGGACCGTTGGAGATGCTCTTAGGACATAATCATACCACATGCATCCAAAGATAAATATGATAATCAAAAGAAATTACATATCAAGTATATAGTCAATGAGATATCATTCAACTTTTAAAAGGAATATCGTGCGCTTTTGGCGTTTTTGGCAGGAGCACGACCTTGGAAGTCCCTGCATCATGTGCGCGGTGGAGGAAAATCATTGTAAAGAAAAAATACAGCTTACTGTATGTTTTCAGACGAGCCTGTATGCCTTTTGGCGATTCAGGACCGTTGGAGATGCTCTTATAGGGCCTATCAGGGGTCCTCAAATACCGCCAAAAACGCAAACTGGGAAACTGGGAGAACATGGGAAAGTTCCAAACACAGCCAAAATCGAAAACTGGGAAACTGGGAAAAAATCCCAGTTTTAACTTTGTATCCCACAAATCAACCGCATGTAAAATACCCGCTCACAACACTGGTGTTACACCTTCCACAACCCCCTGAAGCGCGGTCACTCCCAGGAAAGGGGGTTCGTGGTGTATGTACTATGCCGACCAGGGGACTGTGCGAAAAGTTCACTCCTGTGTGATGAATTATCGGTAATTTAGGACGAGATGAGCCTGGAAGAGATAGGACTCAGGAGGCCTCGACATTTGAGTACATTTGAACTTGATATTTTACCACGCTTCTCCTCCCTATCATGCGAGCTTGACACAGCTTGAAGCTTGAACATTGGAGGTGACGATGACCCTGAGAAACAGTTGTTGTAGCAGCTCCTAAGCATAATCGTACATGATATAAGCTTTCAACTCCATCGCCTGCTCGTAATTTCCTATAGATTGAAGAAGTTTATCCAGCATTGATTGTATGAAAGCGTTTCCTCCAGTCTCCTCAATCGTTCCACAAGTCACTGTCAAGATGCCTTATAAGAACCAAGCGAATCAACCTAAACCAGGAGAAGCTTTGATACAAAGTGCAGGTTACACCCATGTATCACAAATCGGTTCAGCAGCCGATCTGCCCACCTTATCTAATTTTCCCCTTTGGCGTAAAATTGCTCAAACTGAAGAAGTGAGTTTTTTGGACCAGAAGTCTCTACCTACATCATCACTTTCCGCTCACTGATTAATGACCATCCATCTTTGTTTAGACACTAGGGACTGTCTCCAATTATCTCTTTGCTAGGGGAGGACAACATGGGGATTATAGCAATTATGAAGATTCCGCCTTAACTGATCCCAAGCCACCAACTTCATTGATTTACCTCATCATTCAACAAATTCTGGCCGGAACTGTCCCTTCTAATCTCGTGTTAACCAAAAACATTCTCACGAGCATCGGGAATCCTTTCAATGATCGAAATTTTCAGCTTGAGCAAGTCGTGGCTTTTCTCGCGCGCACTGGAAGAAAGAGACACCAAGGACCTAATAAATTCGTGAATGCTATACAAGGCCAATTCATCAACTTACTATGGACTGTAAGCACCTCTATCACGATTCGTTTTGTTTATTGATAAAAAGACTGATATGATGTTGATTATCTGCTTCCCCCACTCAGGACCTTCCACATCCTCCCACCACCAATCTGGACCCTAAACATCGCTTTAGGACACCCGATGGCCGTGATAACAATCTTACTGGACTCCCGATGCTTGGAGCTGCCAATCAACCTTATTCAAGATCAGTAAAACCAGTTCATCCTGTGCCAGCTGGCATGGCTGAACCGGAAGAGATATTTGATGCGATCCTTCGTCGTCCATCGGGCTTCGAAGGTTTCACGCCACACCCTGCTCAGGTGTCCAGCTTATTCTTTGGCTTTGCAAATCTCATCATTCACGACCTGTGTCAGTCTTTCTTCCTGGAATTTTCTCCATCTCTGGAACTGCACTGATCAAAATCGACACTCAAATCGATCGGATTGCAAACTGTAGTCTGGAGCAATAATGGCCCCGAAGTAAAAACATGCGATGGATCCGAATCTAAAGAAGGAAGCGAAGGCGCCCCAACCGGTGGAACTTCGAATCAATGGCAGAACAAAACTTCGTCCTATGCCTCTTTAGATCCTTTGTACGGGACCAATGCAAAAGAACAATGGCAGATTCGTGATAAAAGCCAACTCGGCCGTGGTTTATTACACAATGATACATTTTCATCGAACCGATTACTTCTGATGCCACCTTCATCTTCTGCTTTACTCGTACTATTTTCAAGAAATCGTAAGTGATCTCTAAGGACCATATTTGTCAATGAAAATACTCAAAACAAATTTTCCAATCATTTAGATAATCGTGCGGCTAGAAAAGTTCTAGAGCTCAATGAGCGCGGGGCGTGGCAAAGCGACTTGAGTCAACTTACTCCAGAGCAATTGCAACAACAAGATGATGAGATCTTTGGTACCGCGCGACATATCAATTGTGCCTACTACGCGGGAATCATCCTCAGTGACTATTTACAAGTTAGTGAAATGCCCCGAGACTAATGCCACTTGATAGGTCCACAAGAGATATAGAGTTATACAATATCACATCATCTTGACGATTGTCTGCTTTCTCTTACTTAGGCTATCTTAAATACTACTCAGGTTGACTCGAACTGGGCTTTAGATCCTAGAGCTCCGATAAAAAATCTTCTTGGTAGTACTCCAAAGGCTACTGGAAATTCAGTTAGTGTAGAGTTCAATGTTCTTTGTAAGTCACCTTTTTATTGATGTTACAAGTGATTCAGAGTAGAAAATAATCTTCGTGACATCTTCGGTCATAGATCGATGGCATTCCGCAGTTTCCTGGTCGCAGACGGTGAGTTACCGTCTCTTTCACAGTTATATCATCCTTGGTATTAATTCCCTGCTCTGTAATCTCCTGGTCATAGCAATGGATGGAAGACAAATTTTCTAAAGCTCTGCCTAGCAGAAGTAAGTCCCGAGCGACCCGTTCTACTTTGCATCTCCTCATGTCTAATTCTTTGGTGTTTATAGATTGGGATGAGATGACCGGAGCGCATTTGGCAAAAGCATCTGCTCTCTTGCAAAAAGAGCTGAATGCCGAGGCAGGATCAGATCCTAGAAATTGGAAGGTCCGTTTTGTGTCGATTTCATAAGCATGTCGTACACGAATTCTAAGTAATTTACTCTTGCAGTTATCCAAATATGAAACCAGTGTCCCTGAAGAGGGACCACCGGAGTTAACATCAGAAGGAGTGTATGAAAGGGATGCCGAAAGTGGCAAATTTCGAGATGAGGATATAGCCAGAATCCTAAGAGATTCGACTAACGAAGTGGCTGGTACGTTTGGAGCTCGACATGTACCAGCAGCAATGAAATGGATTGAATGTCAGGGAATGCGAACAGCGAGGTAGGCATGATACACTCTAGGCACACCCCTCTCATACTATGGAGAAGATGCTAAATATTATCTTGTTGGAACAATTCAAATACATTCTTGTGGGACAAAATCGCAGAGATGTTTGGAAATTGTGTACATTGAACGAATTCAGAGAGTTCATTGGTTTGAAAAAACACGATACCTTTGAACAATGGAACTCTGATCCATCGGTTGTTCGTCATGGTTTTCTTTTCCACCACCACTCTTTGGACCAAATCCTTTCAACTCATCTAACTGCTATTTGATCTATTATGGCTTCAAGGCTTCAGCAATGGCAGATCTCGTTGGACATCCAGCAAATATTCCACTTCATGTTGGTCTGAATGGTGAAGAATCTAAGAAACCGACAGTAGGTTCAGGTGTATGTCTACCTTACACAATCAGTCGAGCTATCCTGAGTGACGCCAGTAAGCATTCGTTGAGTGTTTCCAATCCAAATGAGGTGGTTTCTGATGATTCATTATTGCGCTACAAAGTTTCGTTGGTCCGAGGCGACAGATTCTTCACAGTGGGTCTTTTAAGAAATATTCCGTTTCCAGATCACGCCAGTATATCTACCAGATTTGTTTTCTGAAACTCGGTCTGTCTCAGGATTCTGCGAGTGCAGATGTGATGACTGATTGGGGCCTTAACGAGGTACAACCTGATCCGCAAAACGGTTCATTTGGAGGAATGCTGGAGAAGCTGATACGTAACAATATGTTGGCCACCATTCCCACTAATCCTTTCTTAATTATCACAAGAACTAAACTGAACAACTCGATTTGATGCTTTTCAGACCGAATCAATATGTTTACAACGATCTCGCACTACTCTGTAAACCGATTTTTATCACCTTTCTTGACTCTCCCTAGCGCTGATAACATAGACTTCTTCTCAGTTCCTTTTGTCGTTCCCAAACATTCATATTCGAATATGCAGCGCATAGGGTTTCAAAAAGCTCTCAATTATTCTTTGAACCCTCCCCCACCATCTAATGTCGGATTTGAGCAAGTCCAAAATGGCGGCAAAACGATGGTTTGCGAGATGTCAGGTGCGCCGCGTTCGAGGATCCCCATTGAAGATGATCACTGATGAGCCTTTTGACCATACAGATACATCTGAAGTTGAAGTTCAAAGGATGGGCTTGATCTTTGGATTGGCGAGTCTCTTTGCTAATTTGTTGGACTCAAGTGTGTTGTGGTGATAATATCTGACATACTTTGGCTTCGCGTGATTAACAGGCTCAAATGAAGTCAAACATAAAGCTGGTATATAAGGCAGTCGAGAGTGTGATGTCTCATCAAGACTCGAATCAATATCGTGTTTTCCTCAAATGCCGTATTCGACAATGTTCGGCCAAACGAAGCCCAGTTTCGCTTGATGAGACTGTCGACATCCTCCGAGATGTCACCAATCCTTTTGTTTCTGGATGGTAATCATGATCTATCCTTCAAGTAAAGTTAAGATATCTATACTGACGATAACCATATCCAGGCTTGCTCACATCTTTGGACTTGTTGAAACTGGAATTCACTCCGAGCAACTACTTCTATGTGCATTGAGCGATGTGTGAGTGACACTTGGTACAGATTCATGAGTTGCCAATGTTTTCCAACAACAGTCTCTTTTTTTAGCTACTGCTATCTCACCGAGTCACCTCACTTTAACTACAAGTCGCGCACATGCGCTCGTGTGGCTTCCTCTGGTCTGGCTTGGCAAATCAAACATCATATTCAAGCTTCGAGATGTCCCAATGTAAGAGTAGATAACCCGTTTTGCATATCGTGTTGAACTTACTGTAAGACGTTTTCCTGATTGTGTACAGTCATGGCGCGGTATGGTCAAGAAAGGTGTATCAGCACTCAGTGTGGGTGCGCTGGACCTCCTTGGCGAATCCATCAAGCATATGTGCCGCCAAGACACTGGCATAAACTTAAAGCATTGCCATGCTGATGCTATGGAATTTTATGCTGCTTTGACGACTGAGAATGATGCACAACCCACTCCACTTTCGGATGATGAATTGGCAGCTGATTGCTTGAGAGCATTATCTACCTTAGCTTATACCATCGTCAATGGCACAGCTCATGCGATTGATTACTTGATTCCTCCTGCTATCACAAAACCAGCAGAAGTTCCTAGTCTTCAAGCCACTTTGAATGGTCTTGTTAAAAAAAGAAGTTCGACTGATTTACATGAAGATTTCCTTCAGCATGGATTAGAAAGTGCTAGACTTGCTCATTGGAACCCAGCTCTACGTGGTATGACTGTCTGTGCTGAACACTTAGAAAGACAACATGGCGTAAGTGGTTTAGGTGATCATCTTCCTATAATAATATGACCAGAAGTACTTACATTCACTTACACTGCTGCAGAAACCAATTGGTATGATTGATGAAACTTTCCGACTCGATCGAGATAGCTCCGACTATTTACGATTATTAGATGGTCAGCAGTCATCTCATCCATTTGCTTCTCATGACTACATCTAGAAACTAAACAAATCTTTTTCTCCATACATAGTCGATGGATATTGTATGCCGCTCATGAAACATCTTTTACCTATTATCATGGAAGAGACCTTTTCACTTCCACGTGTTCGACGTTCTCCTGGTCCTCAAGGTAAATTGAAAAAGATCATGATCACAGGTGCTGTGGCTAGTATACCTACGATGCATATCAGATATGAGGGTACCCAAGCATAATAGAAATATCAAACAATTCCTTTCTCTCATCAATAGAATCTGATATACATAGATTGATTTGTAAGATTCTTACTCTCATATCTCATTTACAAGACCAAAAATGGACTTCTTTCCACTTGATATATGTTTTGAGGATTTGTAACACACAAGCTTTTCACTTTGTCTTTAGTGACTAGTCTCACCATATACACGTTTCTTGCACAACTCCTCAGCTCATGTTTGCTACAGAACAATTCAAATCTTTCCAGCGAACATAGTGTTTGAGACTATTATGATGTGTGAGAAATTGACATCTGGTCTTTGGCACTCGCTTCTTCTCTCATCTTTCAAAACTTGTACAGCATGGATATCAGATTGTGAACACGCCATCCATCTATATCTTGCTTTCACAAACTTCGCTCGCACTCAAGTGACACAAATCTTCTCATTTCTCTCAAAATGGCGAAACTGGTTGACCAGTTTTTCGCCCAACCGCTATTCTCTGCTGAGTATCACTTGTTTCAGGCCCTTTCATGCCTCATCATGATTCATGAATTGAATCAGCCTTGAATTGAAATCACACAATTCCATTTCCACTATGTACTTATCACGATGATTAAACTTGGCCAGTTCCACGTAGCTTCTATTTATAATTGATCACAGCAAGACGTGATTGATGGTTTTAGATATTTTGAATTTTGAATAGAAACTTGACGCGGTGACTGCGGTGAAGTGTACAAGAGAAGAGAGACCTAAAGTGATGTGTAAATTTGAAAACCACAAGTTGATCGATCAACTTTTAAGGAATTCAATTCAAAATCGGAATAACCAATTTGAAAAATATAAAACATTTCAAAAAAACTTGACCTAAACTTGATTGGTAAGTTTATAATTCAGCTTCACTTCCCTTTCAACTTCTCCAACACCTTCTCATTGTCTTTACCTCAATCAATTTATTATTGCAGCATCCATCCATTCCCGTCACTCTCTATCTAATCTAACGAACTTCACTTATCATTCATCATGGATGTAAGCTACTTCTCACTTATACTCACTTCTCAGTAACCTTCATCAGACATCACATTGACTTCTTTTTCTTCTTCAGCCTCAGTACTTGCAGCAACTTCAAACGTGTCTAGAACAAATCGCTTCCCCTAGTGGAACTGATGGTATCAAGGAGGTAAGATTCCATCAGCTTTTCATATGACCTGCTCTATCTTCTTTGGTTTCATTCTATATATCATATCTTGCCATTGTTGTGTGAATGATTATCAATACATTCAGAACCGCTAAGCTTTAGAGCCTATTGCGCTCATTGAAGACATAAATCCGTATAGGAAGAATCTCGTTAGTATGAACACACAATGTCAAAGTCTACCTTTAAGGTTATCTTTTATCGAACTTTGGAATTACCAGAATGATATGCACTTCATGGTTATCATTTTGTATAAAGAACTGACTATCCACCTCTGCATTTACTGCTCGTTAACAGGCCACCCAAGCTCTGAATGAACATTTCTATAAATCACCTCAGGCCATCCCCGGTCTTGTCGAGCTTCTCTCCGCATCCCCCAACCCTTCAGTACGTCAACTATCTGCAGTTGAACTTCGAAAACGTATCTTAGTCGCCAAACGCAAACATTACAAGCGACTCGATGACTCTGTTCGGGTTACAATCAAAGCACGCCTTCTTGAGCTTATCACCTCTGAAACCGTCTCTCTCACCCGACATGCTATCAGTCGAGTAGTTGCTGAGATTGCTGAGCTCGAGCTTCCAGAACGCACATGGCCAGAGCTGCTCAACTTCCTCATCGCAGCCACTGATAGTTCGGTGGCTACTGAACGAGAGATTTCCGTCTTCACCCTTCACGCCATGATGGATACCATTGTCTCTTGTTTCCCGGAACATCTGCCTCAGATCTACGCCCTTTTCTCTAAAACTCTTCAAGATCCCGAGAGTCTCGCTGTCAGAGTCAGCACCTTGCAAGCTCTCGGACGTGTGGCTGAGTACATCGAACTTGACGAAGAGTCTTCTATTGTAAGTAAACGCACTACCTTGAGCTCCTTGTTTATAGCTCATTCTGACGTTTGGCCGGTTCATCACAGACTACGTTCCAGTCTATGATTCCCCAGATGCTTGCAGTCATTGGTCAGACTATGGAGGCCAACGATGAAGCTTCAGCAAAGATCGGATTCGACACACTCGAAACATTACTTATCATTGAAGTGCCACTTATCAATGCTCACTTCGATCAAGCTGTCCAATTTAACTGTACTATTGGAAGCAACAAAGCTTTGGACGAGTCATTTCGTAACATGGCTTTGAATTGCTTACTCTGGAGCATTAAATTCAAAAAGACTAAAATCGCTTCATTAAACCTCATCAAACCTATTGTTGATGCCTTGATCATCATCGGCACTGAGGACGAACCGGAGGATCCCGAAGATGATTCAGTCGCTCGGGTAAGTCACTTTCTCTTTATCAGTTACGCTGTATACTTTTTGCTGATCTTATTCTATTTATTCTCCGTGAAGACCGCCTTTCAATGCTTGGATGCTCTTGCTACCTCTCTTTCTCCCCAATCCGTTTTCCCTGTTCTTTTCGCCCACATCCAAGAATGCTTCCCTAGTCCTGATCCTACGCTTCGCAAGTCGGCTGTCATGGCCCTTGGAGTCGCTGTCGAAGGGTGCTCCCAATTTATTCAGCCTCATCTCGAACAACTATGGCCTTTCATCGAATCTGGCCTCGAAGATCCTGATTCACGTGTCCGAAGAGCTGCTTGTACCGCTCTATCTTGCATCAGCGAGATGTTGATTGAAGAATGTGGAACGAGGCATTCAATTCTCATGCCACGAATCTCTGCCCTGCTGAACGATCCCGAATGTCAACGTAATGCGATGACTGCGCTCGATGGACTTCTAGAAGTCTTTGATGATCAAACCATCGGTCTCTACTTGAATCCCTTGATGGAACGCCTCGTCCCTATGATCGACTCTACCCCTCTCAAACTCAAAGGTACAGTCATCGGTGCCATTGGCTCTGCTGCCTATGCGGCCAAGGCTGGCTTTGAACCTTACTTCGATGTCTGCATGCAGCGCATCACTCCTTTCCTATCTCTCAAGGGTGAAAGTGATGAAGCTGAACTTCGTGGTGTGGTTCAAGACACTGTTGGTACTTTGGCTTCTGCTGTTGGCAAGGAGAAATTCAGACCTTTCCTCGAGGGTTGTTTGAATGTCGCCTTCGAAGCTATCGACATGGAGAACCCCAGCCTCCGAGAATGCTCGATCATCTTCTTCGGTACTCTCGCTAAGGTTTACGAACAAGAATTTGTGCCTTACTTACCTCGCGTGATGCCCGCTGTATTGCATAGTCTTGGTCAGGAAGAAGAGGATGGAGCCGCTACTTTACCAACTGAAGCTGTTGCAGGTTTCAAAGCTGGTGATGATGAAGAGGATGAGGCGGAGGTTGATGATGAAGATGGGTTTGTTGACATGGAGGATCTCTCACTTGACGATGAAGACTTGATGAAAGTCACCACTTCTGTTGCTGTCGAAAAGTCGGTCGCTGCCGATACGCTCTCTGAATTATTCGAACATACGAAGACCAACTTCTTGCCATACCTCGAGAACGCAATCAAAGGCCTCATGCCTCTCCTTACTCACTTCTATCCGACCACCCGCAAAGCTGCTGCCACCACCTTATTGTCATTCATTTCCATTGCCCATGACCTCACCGACCCGCCGAAGTTGGAGCCTGGACTCGCCAACATTCGTCTTTCCGATGACGTTCAGAAGCTAATCGCTTTGATCGTTCCTCAAATCATGAAGATATGGCAGGAATGCGATGAATGGTATGTCGATCTCGATCTCGATCTTGTTTCTCTCCATATGATGAACAATTTTACTCAGCTCACTAAGACGCAAGCTCTAATGAGACTTGCAAATGAAACCAAACGCATTTTATGCAGATCTGACTCCCCTCCTTATTCCTCATTCATGACCAATCTGCGAATGAACACTTTGAACTGACACATTTTCTATTTCCTTTTCTGCATCTCCCAGCGACGTTCTCAGTGACGTATGTTCATCATTGTCTGCTGTTGTCGCCAATGTTGGAGCCGGAGTCGTCAGCTCAACACGTCAGTCACTATTGGTCTTGAACAGTATTTGCTTCTCAAAGTTGATTATTATTTTTCCCTGTAGACCTCGACGAGACCTGTCACTTCCTCCTACAAGTTCTGGAACGCAAGTCGCCAGCACAAATCGACTGTGGATTTGACGACGGATCAGTATCAGGCGAACTTTCAGAAGTTGAATCACATCTGATAGGGTGTGCCACCGATCTAGTTGGAACCTTTGCGACTGTCCTTGGAGCAGACTTTGCTCAAGCCTTTGTCCAATTCCTTCCATGGATCGTCAAGTACTACGACCCAATGTATTCCGCCACAGATCGAAACAATGCCATTGGCTCGCTTGCCGAAGTCATCAATGGTCTCGGAGCTTCGATTGGCCCCTTCATTGAAGAACTTTTGCCACTCGGTCTTCGTGCTATTGCTGATGAAGATGTCGAAGTCCGAAGCAACGCTGCTTTTTACTTGGGATCACTAGCTTTCTGGTCCGAGGTTGATCTCTCCTCGCAGTATATTGAGATCCTCAAAGGTCTTCAGCCACTCTTCACCGTGCCTGACAACTCTTTTAGAGAAAAGAGCGAGCGTGCCAGGGATAACGCTGCTGGTGCAGTTGCCAGGATGATCATCAAGAACAAGGCCGCATTACCATTGGAACAGGTAAATCGGGTTCACGTTTGTAGTCATTATTTCATTTGAAGACTGACATGCGCGCCCAACATGATCTTTGTAACTTAGGTTCTACCGCTGTACTTCGAGGCCCTCCCCCTCAAGCAAGACTTTGCTGAATCAGCCAAGTGCTTTGACGCTGTGATTCTATTGATCCGCGAACAGCATCCATTAGTTCAACCTCACTTTGATCACATCCTCGCTGTCTTCGCACACGTCCTCCCCACTGCTACTCCTCCTGCTCCGGAAGAGAAGGCCATGATCACCATCGAGACGCGTGCCAAGATTGTTCAGTTACTCCAAGTACGTCTTTTTCCTCGTTTCCAACCGCAGGCATACATTAACTAACTCTTGTTTTATCATTCTAGGATTTGAATACTCAAGTACCTGATCAATTGGCAGCAAGGGGTTTGAACACCTACTTCTAATGTGTTAAGATAATGAAGGATGAACTTATCTTCAGATGTATCTCATGGAAATCAAAGTTATCAATTGCCATTTCTTAAAAAACTAGCTTTTTCCTCACGTCGCACAACAAAACATATTTCGTATTTGCTTCCGATTCGATACCTTCTTTCTTTCGACACTCACTTTTTGATATCTTTTTTTTAATTTACATCATCTTTTCAAAGTAGTCGTATCAACGTTTTGAATCATATTATAACATACACGTAACTCTTATATACTCCGGGAGGCAATTTTTCTGTCTTCCAATTTTTTTTTAGAAACTCATTTTGATAATTTGGCTTTTTTCTTTTCGCCTTCTCTTGAGTGATTAGAGTGGGTTCTTCAGAAATTGATTGATTGGATTCTATTACACAGGATTCGTTGAGCCTATGAGAATTGAGTGCCCTCATTCGATTCTACACTCAGAGAATCGGAGAAGTTTATCGCTATTTTCGAAGATGATCTTGCAAAAGACACTTCAACGTGCTAAATATAATTCACATCATTTCGGGAGTTGATGCGGCCATATAGCTCTGGTACAAATCAGTCATGGCAACCTTCGTAAGCCTATCCCAAACAGTTCGTTGAATTGGCAATGCTCCCGGTATCCCCACCACCCTTTCACAGGTAGGGTCATCCTTAATCACTTGTGACAAGTGTTGTACAGGCTGTACCGGGTTATTCATGATGCTTTTCCATGTACAATTTGTCATTCAAGCTCAATCAACATCACCATGAGGAACATTGTTGTCCTGTTTTGCTCTCCAGCCATGGACTAAGATTTTGATCAGTACCTGATCTGTCCTTTTGTCTCAAATCCATCAATCTTCAAATCACAACATCCAGAACAAGAATGACCAGCTCTCAAGACCAAATTGAGATATGACCCAAATGGTGATGGATCTACATAACATTTTGGAACAAAAAATCTCCACGGAGACAAATTAGTTTCTTTGTGTTGTTTCAACTATTGCATAGCTGCTGTGATTATTTGTTCAATCAAGGATCTCAGCCACCTTTCTGTGCCCTTCCAATACCCACAGGTGGAAATTCTTGTTTCCATTTTACATGCTGGATACCCAGCAGGAAGTGGTTTTTCTCATTCCCTGGCCCAAGTCCCAACACTCAGGGATACCCAATCATGTCTCAAAACATCTGCCCAAACCACGGACCAATTGGGCTCCCTTCTGGATCCCCAAACAGATAGATGGTTCAGGGCTCAGGCTGAAGATCTGTTTCTCTGCTGGGTTACCCAAAGTAAGTCTTTGGGTCTGATGCTTCTCCTCCCTCCAGCCCCTGCCAATTGCTCATCACAGTATGATCTGCTTTGCTTCTCAGGCTGGTGCAATCAATTTGTCTTTATAACTATAGAGTGTAACTGCTCACCCATGTCAGTCTTTTGGATTCTACTCAAGCACGAAAACTAGCTGATGTTTTTTCAAATTTGTTTTCTGTTTTCTGTACTACAATTCAACTTCATCATTAGATCCCCTTGTCTCATCAACCATTTGTTTCAAAAGTTTAAGCTTCAATGCATACAACTCTTTTTAAACTACAAAACCAAATGATTTGAATGATACTGTTGAAAAGTAGACTCAGAGATCAAATGATAATTAGGTAAATTATGATTGACTGATTGAATTGAAAGGTTTTTTGAAGGATAAAAGTTTGCCTTGGTGATTAGGATGATTAAAATGTGCAAGGGTTGAAAAAAATATATGATCAATAATGATACAATGGTCACTCATGATTCCAAACACCCAACGTGAAGCTCTTGTCTCTTGAGTGCTTTTATACCTAATCCATCAGCATTTCCTAATTGAAGTTCAACAAGGAAAAGGTTTCAACTTGTCATTAGAACAAACATTGAGGTCTTGATCTGGATTAGAAATAAGATCTCACCAGACGGAAGTGAATAATTAGAAATAAGATCTTTACCAGATGAAAAACTTGTCTTGGGGTCAAATCACAGTTTGGATCTGAGCTCAGCATCAAGAGAGCCCAAGTGGTACCTGGGTAAGCCTTTGCACCTTTCACAGAAAGGGCCAAGGAACCTTAAAAGGTGGGAAAGGAGTGTTTGTGTGGCTTGTAGCGGCACAAATTGCTTTTGCCTGTAAGAGTTTTGAATGGGTAAAGCTTTGGTGTGATCAAAGAACACTTCATACTGGTCAGCTTTTTGCAAAGCAAAAAGATGGATAAAAATGTTGGGCTGCTATGCTGATATCCCTTTTGAGCCATCTCAAAATTATTCCCAAGATTTTAAACTATGATGAAATTGTGATTGGAAACTAGTTGGTCAAATTATGCCCAACCCCTGATAGATGATTTAGTTTAAGATAGCAATGGACATACATTTGCTGCACCTGTAGATCAGGTTGATGATCTTTCTCAACCCACAATTCATATTGGTCCAGAGTGTCAATAATACCATACTTCAGTGGATTGAGTGAGATGAGAATGTCCAAAATTTAGAATTGGAACCAGATGAACAATGTGTGCAATAAGATTTGGAGGAATCTGATCCAATTGCTTCCTTACCACACCTTTTGTTTTTGGTTTAAGTTTTATATTCTTCTCCATGTCATGAATTTGATGAGACTGTTTGAATACTGATCTTGTTTTGAATGGTTCATACTGTTTGGATCAACCACCCAGTATTGTTGTTGATGTTGATAGAGTGTGAACAACAAATTGTAAACAAATTTCTTCCAACAGTGGTAACCTGGTACAGCCTGTTTGTCACTTGTGTCCTTGGTGATTGCATGTCACTGCCTGTGAAAGGCAGGGGGTGGTGAGGATACTGGGATCCGGAAACAGTTATAGGAACACAACATTCCAACCCCCCTGTTTACCAATCAATTATCAGACCCCCCCATACCCTAAGACAGCTTAAGTGACCTTAAGCATCTTAATTGTATAGCCGGATGGCCAATAATTTGATCATCTTGAGAAAGTTTCTCTCATAGCCTGATCCAACCTCCTATGTGATCCATGAGCTTGAGCCATTTCAAGCTGGTGAACAACCTTTGCTCTCATCAAGAAGTACCAAGCAACTCAAATAATGTGCAGAAAATTCTGAAGCTGAGTTGTCTGGTCCAAAATGCAGCAAATGTAGCTAAAGCAGGCATATTACCTGTACTTTCCCCAAGGCTGGCTCAGATGCACTAGATTAAAGGGTAGCACAGCCATAGCTCAACAGAGCACTACTTTGGCTTTAGGACTTTTTCTGGTAGCGGGGCCCCCATACCACTCTCCTTCTTGGGCTTGGTGATCACCACAGCCCTCATACCACTTTGCAGGTCCAAGGGGGCCAGAAGCAGTATATTGGCTTCACTTCTAGTTTCTGGTGATATTCCCTTTCACCAATTGTACGTCTCCTATCCTCAGCAGGAATGTTGCTGAATATATTCCCCAATTAATGAGATGGTTTTTCTTTGAAATCATCACCCAGTAAGCAAGGTATATTGATCATATGTCAGCAAACTTGGTCAGAATGGTTTATCCAAGCACCTTTTCAGCTTGACTGATCATCACCTATTGGATCCAGTGGATATAGAGCCAGTGTATTGGATATTTGGGCTTCTGGTCCTACTATGCATTGCTTTTTTTGTTTCTTTTCCTTTTTCCTTTTCTTTTTTAACATCCTTTTGTGTGTTTCAAATTCTTTGTCAAATCCACCTGCATGTTGTACTACTACCAATGCAGCCATATGCAGCAATCCTTCTGATAACCTCTTCTGCATGCATTGTATTTTTTGATGGTGTACATCATCAAGGGTTTTGTGTCCTTACTTTTTGATGTGAATTCAATGTCCTATCTCATTTCAATGTGTCCTATTGACCTATTATTCTGAGGTTTGAAACTGACCTTTTGTTCTTTTCTTTTTTAATCCATGTACTATTAAACCTCCTTTGTCCAATTTCCACACAATTCATGCACCTTGCTTTGTATGTGCTTTCATCCTGTATATTGTACTCATATGATGTTCTTGCCAACTCTACTTTTTGTTGTGTGTTCAATGTGGCTCTGTTTGCATTTCATATTTGATGCTTTGTGAAGGTAGTGCTTTTAAAAATTTGGCCCTTGTCTTATGTCATAAATAGTCTGTCAGACAGGGCATAAGTTACCTGAGTGACTTATCTCCTGGCTAACACATAAGGATGAAAAGATGCCGTGAAAGGTATCTTGACATTTGAGAATATTGTTGATTCAGATTAAATCCATCTTTCTTTCTATTACTCATTTCTCTTACTCATGTGATATGTTTCAAATTCAATTTTATTATTCAAATTTCATTCTCATCTTTATAATTTCTATACATTCCTATTTACATAATCATTATTAACAAATCAAATGACTTGGGAAAGTGATTTGAATTGATTACTAATGTTATGAACTCCTGAAGGGAGCACTGACTCTCAGTTATGATGCTTGAATTGGATTGAGGACCCATTCAAGTTGATTCCATACAAAACCATCCAGAAATAACACATTGAAACTGTTACATCTGTTGGTCTGGGAGTAAGTACCACTGGATTGGGCAATTGACAGAAGTATCATTGGATTACACTTGAACGGGGTGGAATCCATGAGCTCATTAGAGACATATTTGATTTAGGAGTCTTGTGATCTTGGTTAGAAACATTACATAATTGTGTGCTAAATGTGCGCTGAAGGCTTGTTGGGTTGAGTATATACACCTGTTGTTTTCTTCTCC